GTTGCACCATTTTACACTCCCACCAACAGTGAATAAGGGTTCCAGTTTCTCCACAACCTCGCCAGCATTTATTGCTTGCTGTTCTGTTAAATTTTGCTATTTTGACTGGGGTGAGATGATATCTCATAGTTGTTTTATATACTATCACTTTTATAAACACAATTGTGCTGGTTGTTCTTTCAGGCATGGCATATGCTCTACTAGCTGCAGTTCCTGTTGGATATGGTCTCTATTCTGCATTTTTTCCTATCCTGACATATTTTATCTTTGGAACATCAAGACACATCTCAGTTGGTAATTATAACGATATAGTATAATTACGTTTGTTTATGTTTAAAGTGTTCTATATTATGTGTATCATGTGTTCAAAATTTTGGCAGTGATTTCCAGAGATTTAGTGCTTCATCTGGTTTTTCAAATGTAATGATGTAGTGGTTTTTCATAATTTTCCAAAATACTATGCTTTGTTTATAGGGAGCTCTGGTGGTCTAATGATAAGAAGCTGTGTTGCAATCACAAAGGCACACAGTTTGAATCCGTTAGCTACTTTATCGGAGAAGGATAGGTGGTCTCCTGGGCAATTTATTCCTACTGAAAACTTTCTGGAGGGTCAGCTATATGTCATTTCTGACTCTACAACAAACAATAACAACCACAATGCTGTATCTGTAGGGAACATTTTTAGTTTTGTGGTAAAGAGTTGCACTGCCAACCCGAGAATTCATGGTCTGAATTTTCTAGCTGTTCTGCAGTAGAAAATTGGGCAGTCTCTTCCTGTGTGATTTACTGTCTCTGGAAACTCAGAGGATCAGCTATGATCGGTTTTGACTTGATGGCATATAACAACAGTAACAACAATGACGTATTTGAGTTAGCTTGATAATTAACGTTAAATGAAAGAATGTGAAGATTGTATCTTCAAATTTAGAATGTTTCCATGAAAAAAGTTAACAAAATTTTACTTTATGTTTAGGAGTGTTCCTTTTTCAAATATAGGATGATAAGGGGAAAAACATTCAAGAGATCTCTGAACCTCTGTTTTGCTGGATTATTTTACCATTGGCTAAATTGTGTTTGTCAAATGCATATTCATGTATCTTTTTAAAAAGTTCTTATTTTATGTCACTAATGCTAGAAGACCAGAGAAGTCTTGCCAAAACAATTTAGAACCTAAACTTGGCTTTCACTCTTGGTATGGCTCAAAATAGGTTTATTTCCTGCTGTTCCTAAAATTTTAATTCTAAATCGTTTGAATGTTCACTAAATGAACGTTTTATTCTATTCTGTAACTTTGACATTTACACTAAAGATAATTCTGCTCCTACATCCATCTGTTGGCTAGACACACCTACCTCGACCATCTTTGTAAAACTCAAATACGAAATAAAAATTAAAAAAAAAGAAAAAAAAAACAACCCCAAAACTCAAATATGACTATGATACTCCCTCACCAACTCCTTTCTCTGTCCTTCCTTGTATCTTCCTCAGTGTCTTGCATATTGCTTTGTCTGTAGCAGGAAACCATTAGGTTGTCGACTGAAAGAATTTTCTACTCTAGGGAGTCAGTCAGTATCAGATGTTTATCTTTATGAAGAACATTGAAGTTCTTTTGCCTGTGATATTGCTCTAGGTTTAGACATTCTAGGTTCCTGGATCGTGCTCTGAGTCCTCCCAACCATAAAACTTTCCATAGTTACGTACGGATAGGATCATCATTATCATAATAAAAATATCAGTAGTAAATGGAGAATTTACTAGAAGACTGATTTTAACCCAACCCGTGGTAAAACCAAGAGCAGCACTTGAAGCAGATTTTACAGATCACTACTCTTAGTTGTTAAACACCTGTGATTAATATGTGAATAATGACTAGATACTGTTTTTCCCCCTCCAGGACCTTTTCCAGTGGTCAGCTTAATGGTGGGATCTGTTGTTCTGAACATGGCCCCTGATGAACACTTTATCAGTAATGAGACTACGCCAAATTCAACTGTGATCGATTTTGAAGCTAGAGATAAAGCGAGAGTATTGATTGCAAGCACCCTCACTCTTTTGGTTGGAATTATACAGGTAATGAGTTTACAAATACAGAGAGATGGATTTCATCATTTGAGACAACTTACTAAAAAACATGTGAACTTACAGATTCAAAGAAACACCCAAACAAAGCAATTTCATGGAATCCAAAATTACTTTCTAAGTTAGATAGTTTTAGATCAGATGCTGAAATAATAAACAGAACATCAAATCATGAAGGAGCACTAAAATGTTAAAAAAAAATTTAGAAGACTGTACCATTCAAAGGGGGAAGCGGAAGATAAAGTGCAAGAATAAAAAAAATGTTCTCTGTTCTTATGAACAGAGTCATGGGGCCTGAAAAAAAATGGTGCAAGATTCTTGCTTTTCTTTGGACACGTCTAGAAATGCTTTTAGATGTTATGGATGGTTTTTCAATCTTAGAGTGGTGGAACGTGGGAAGGGGTATGGTGTTGAGGAATCCAGACTTGCTTTCTTGCAAGTACTGTGGCGTAGGCAGGCTACAAGGGTTGTCATCTGTTTGTTAAGATTTTAGAGAGCTGGTTCTTCTCCCAAGCAAACATTGAATTTCTCTTTCCTTCTTGGCCCAGTTGGTTCTTGGAGGTTTGCAGATTGGGTTCATTGTGAGGTACTTGGCAGATCCTCTGATTGGTGGATTTACAACTGCAGCAGCCTTCCAAGTACTGGTCTCACAGCTCAAGATCGTCCTCAATGTTCCGACCAAAAACTATAACGGAGTTCTTTCCATTATCTACGTAAGTGCAACTTCTTCTTACAGGGAGAAATCATTAATCAACCCACAGAGAAATGTGTTCATGCTCTTTTCAACCTGAGTCTGAGGAGTGTGCAATCTTTCACAAATACTTTTAAGAACTACTGATAACAGGTTTGTGGGGAGTGGGGGTGGGGGGGAGTTCCCAAGATAGGGATGATATTCTTAAGTGGTAACTGTGAAAAATGGCAGGTTTTGTAAATCATTCTTATCAATGGCTTCTGAATCATCACTGAACTTAAAAGGCATTCATGAAAACAGGGATATGATCAAGTCAAGGTTGGTCTGGGTTTAACAAATTTGAGTCTGCTTCATTAGACACATCAAACAGCTTACTGGCCCAGAGCTTGGGTTTCTAACCGGATGGACTTAGACTCAAACACTGACTCGAGTATTTAACAGCCATATGAGCAAATCATTATAAATCAGTTTTCTTCTCTGTCAACTGGGGCTGATAATAATACCTACCTCACTGGACTGTTAAATAGGAGAATAGATGAGAAATATTGCACCCAAGGCTTGGCATGTAACAAGTATTCAAAGCAGTCATTTTGCCATTACTGCCTGACATCTCAAGACCTCTTTTTCTCTTTATTTGTAAGTTAAATGGTTAGGGATGTATCTTTAAAGCCCTTTCTAACTGTGAGAGTTTATAAAATGCATAATGTAAATGTCTCAGTAATTATAGATGAAAAGGAACATTAAACTTACAGATGAATCAAAATGCAAAAGAAATGCAAAAGATGAATAATCATACTAATTATACTTGAAAATATCCTTGGATTTAAATATAAAACCTATATAAAATATGTCATTGATGTTTGAAAAGTGGTGATTATGGTAACATGATGTTATCTCAGCTTAGGAGATTGATACTACACAAAAATAATTTATCAATGTTAAGAATGTTGTTATCTTCCTTAATAATCTAGGTACCACCTTCTGAAACAAAAGATAAATGTCTAAGAATCAGTGACACTGTCAGAAATTTATTCAATGTCATACTTCCTTTGTTCTATCCATTCTCAAGTACCCATTTCAGGTCAAGTACAATGCTATTAGGCAACATCATGATGAATGAGGCAGAGATTGAAACTATCTATAGTTTCATCTTGATTGGATCCACAATTAACATTGTTGGTACTGTTGTTGTTGTTTAATGCCGTCGAGTCATAGATGACTCATAGCGACCCTATGAACGAACAGCCTGAGCACTGTTCGTACATAGAGTTTCCAGAGGCAAGCCATTTTGGAAGATGTCTCCAAATTATTGAAGAGTAGTGACGTCAGCCTGGGGACTTAGGTGTGTCTGATTCAGGCTGTAGTATTTCCAATCACTTGCTCTGCATCTGAGAACTGGACAGAGAGTAAGTAAGAGAAAAAGAATTGATAGCTTTGTGCTGCCGTTTTGGAGAGGAGCACTGAACATTCCCAGGACGGCCAAAGGAACAAAGAGATATGTCTTGGAAAGGGTGCAGTGAGCATGCTCTTTGGAGGCAAGAATGATGAGGCTTCACCTCACATACTCTGGGCATGTTGTTAGGAGGGACTATTCCTTGGAGAATGACATGATGCTGCATAGAGTGGAGTGTTGGTGAAGGAGAGGAAGACCCCCAACCTGGTAGAATGACACAGTGACTGCCTTGATGGGCTCTTATGTGTCAGGAAGTATGAGAAAGGTACAGGATAGACCAGGGTTCATTTGTTCATAGGGTTGCTCTGAGCCATACTTGACAACAACTAATAACAACAACAACAACAACTACGCTTAGCTGTGAAAATTGCTGAAGGAAGCAGTGTAATACATTGATTAAGATTATGGACTTTGAACATCATGAAACTTAGGTTGGAGTCTTGATTTCATCACCTATCTCTATTACTTTAAGAGTATTACACTATTATTTATACTCTTTCTTAAAATTTTATTATTTTTGTGTGTGTGTACCATCAAATCACATCTGACCGGTACAGGAGAAGATTATCCCTCCTTCTCCAGCAGAACATCTGGTGGATTCAAACCAGGCACCTCTGGGATTGCAGTGCAGCTTCTTGCCAACTGGGCCACCAGAGCCCTATTATACTAATTTTTAAAAGCAAAAATAAAGAAGACTTGCCCATAAAACTGTTATTCAAACATACACATCAACCACTAAAACTAACAGAGACATTGTATTGATTTGCAGTCTGATATTAATTGAACATGTAATCAAGGTGTTTTAGTAATTGATGACTTCTTGTTGTTTGCCTTCGTGTCAAAGCTGTCTCATAGCTAATCCTCCAGGGGGTCTTCAGAGGTGGTAAATCACAAAGGAGGAGATCGCCCGTTATTCTCTCACAGAGCAGCTGGTGAATTAGAACCACTTGCCATAATTAACAGCTAGAATGCAAAAACTGGAGACAAAGAAGGACTGGTAATTGGAATATATGGCTTTGCTGAAAAAAATGAGGCTAGACATCACATGGTAGAACTCTATAAGGTCAATTCATTGCAAATGTTTGGTGGGTTTTTTTAAAAGCAACCATAAATGGTGTGTATACACATGGACTTCAGCTGATGGAATACATTGGGACAAAACTGACCATATCTTTGAAAAGAGATGGTGGAGAATCTCAATTATTAGTGAACAAAACAAGGGCAGGGGATGACTGTGAAACAGACCATCAGTTACTCACATTTATCAAATTGAAATGAAAGAAAATGAAAACAAGTTCATGAGAGTCAAACTACATCCTTGAGCTTACCCCAAGTGAATTTAAAAACCATCTGAAGAATAATTTGATGCATTGAACACTAATGCCCAAAGGCCACTTGAGTTATGGAATGGCATCAAGGATACCATCCATAATGCAAGCTAGATAGTTACGGAGACAGGAACTAAAGAAAAGAACAGAATGGATGTTAGAAGAGACTCTGAAACTCGCTCCTCAATGTTCTTGTTATATATCATGGAGTCACAGCCGATTCATAGCTGACCTTGCCGGCTTTCAGAAGCAGTACATTGCATGGGAGGAGATTGCCTCTTTTTCTCTCATGAAACAGCTAGTAAATTAGAACCACTGGCTTTTGAGGTGGCCGTGCAGTTCCTTTCCACTAAGCCACCAGAGAGCCCTGCTGTTCTATGTAGAGAGCCCAAAATAAAGGAAATAAATACTGCAGTAAGAGTTCTGAGCAGACGGTGAGCTCTAGTGGCCTAGTGGCAAGAAAATGTACTGCAATCCCAGAGGTGCACAGTTCAAATCCACCAGATTCTCTGCTGGAGAAGGAGGAACAATCTCCTCCTGTACCAGTCAGATCTGATTTGACGGTACACACATACACATAAAATAATAAAATAAAAGAAAGAGTTCTGAACAGAACATTTCAAAGAACAAATCAAGAAAACAAAGCTAAGTATTATAACAAAGTATGCAGACCTGGAGTTAAAAAACCCAAACGAAAGAGCACGGTGGGCATTTCTCAAGCTGAAAGGAACTTAAGAACAAATAAAGGTCTTGAATTGTAATACTGAAATTCTGTGAGCAAAATAGTAAATGATGTAGCAAGCATCAAAAGAAGATGGAAGAAGCACTGTCCCAAAAAGAATTGATTGACCTTGAACCATTTCAGGAAGTAGTATATGTGTATATATATATATATACACACACATATAATCAAGAACTAATAGTACTGAAGGGAAAAGTCCAAGTTTCAATGAAAGTATTGGAAAAACTAAGGACCCAGGAATTGATGGGATGTTTTGACATGTTTCAACAAACATATGCAGCCCTGGACATGCTCTCTAGTCTGTTTCCAGTAATCCAGTTTCTCTGCTTCATTACCTTCTCATTTTTGCTTACGATAATTGTTAACCAATTGGTCTCACAGAGATACTTTTTTTTTAATAGGAGTGAAATATTATTTCTTTTTTGAGCCACTGTTATTTAGCTTAACTGAACTGCATAGTTCTGTTACATTCTATTCATTGTTCTGTGTGTCCAAGGTTTTTTTAAAAAATAGTATTTTATAGTATTTTCATTAAGAGTTTAAACAGAAAACTAGATTCTCACATAACTTTTTTTTTTACACACATTAGTAATATTGGTTATCTTTCTCACAATGTGTTAAAATTCCCATTAATTCTGTTCTTGTTTTCTGTTTCCATGAATCTAGATTCTCTGCTTTCTTTTTTTTCTCCTGTTTGCTTTAGAATAATTGCTGACCAGTCGGTCTCATAGGGATATTTTGTCACAGAAACATTGTTGTTTTTAGGTGCCATTGAGTCAAGCATGCCTCATAGCGAGCTCACGAACAACAGCACTGAACTTTGTCTTACCCTCCACTTCCTGGCAGTCATGGAACACTCAGCACTCTGCCACCACCACTCAGAGGCATCAGTCTTTCTTCTGTCATTCGTATTCATTGTCCAGCTTTAAGATGCATGGCATGTGATTGAAAAGACCACTTAGAGTTTGTTGTTAGGTGACATCAAGTCAAGTGGGACTCATAGCAACCCTATGAACAACAGATGTGGACTTTGTCATCCTGTGCCATCCTCATAATCTCTGATGCACTTGGGCCCATTGCTGTAGTCACTGTGTCAGTCCAGCTGCCTCTCTTTTGTTTTCCTTCAACTGTCCCAAGCATGATGTCCCTCTCTGAGGAATAACCTCTCTTAGCAACATGCTGAGAATATGTGTGATGAAGCTTCATAATCTTTACTCCAAGGAGCACTCTGGCTGCACCTTCTCTTAAGACATATCTGTTGGTTCTTTTGGCAGTCCATGGGATGTTTAGCACTCTTCTCCAACACCATAGCACAAAGATATCAATTCTTTTCTGTCACCCTTTTTTGTTGTCCAACTCTCAGCAGGATAACAAGTGGTTGAAAAGACAATGGCTGGGGGGAGCTCTGGTGGCCTAGTGGCAAGAAGCTGTACTGCAATCCCAAAGGTACACAGTTCGAATCCACCAGATGCTCTGCTGGAGAAGGAGGGACAATTTCC